GTAGTATATAAATATTAGTTTAAGAAGCAACATGAAGTATTCCAATCACTTGATAAAGCTACTGTGTTAGTGAAACCTGTTGTGATTATATTTTTTCAAATAAAGTTTGTGGAGATCAAATCGGGAGGTGTAGTTTTTGAAGTAACTATGGATCTTCATCAAGTAACGGCCGAATCAATTAAAAAATTATATAGAGTACTTCACGTGCGTGGTAGCCTTTATCCAATTTCTAGTATCGTTTTTTGCAACAAAATCTTATCAATTCAGGTCACCTCGGTTTTTTTGTTAGAATCTTACAAAAAATTGTGTTTTGTTTTTTTTTAAGAAGTCACAGGAATTCAATTAATACTTTCTTTAAAATACTGATACTTGCAAAACACGTCATTTGTTTGGATACTGATACTGTAAATAAACTGTAATAAAAAAACCGAAACACCATTTTGAATTAAATTCAATACCATTCCACACCCTCTCCCCTGTGTTGGTCACATCCGGAAGTAAAATATTCAATATCAGAAATATAGTTTTGCTTACTCACCATGTCAAACAATGTACATTTAACTCTAAATTTCTCTGATCGAGCACATGGCAGACAGGCAATTTTGCCTAGGCTAATGTTCGCTTGCCTCCATCACATTTATGAATAGGTCCTAAAAAGTGTGTTTAAATCAAAGCTTCATCAAGCCACTAGCTGTGCGGATATCCCACTATTCAAAAAATTTAGAGACAACTGGAAAAATATTGACTGTAATTTCATAGAAATATGTATTGATTTTGTAAAACAGCATCTCTCTGACGCTACTATTAAAGAATTACTGTAATTGAGTTTTGATTCTCGACCTTTACGATCTTTGACCAAAATAGGACCCGCGTAATCAATTCCAGTGGTATTAAAAGGCGGAGCTGGCTGTAGACGAGACGCAGGCAATTGACCCATGAGTGGTTATATTCCTATTGGTTTAGTGCGAAAACATTTGACACAATGTCGTATTACTTTTTTAGCAAGGATTCTTCCACCAATGGGCCAATACTTTTCTCTCAACGATACCAATAATTGCTGTGGACCACAATGCATGAGTATAGAATGCTCATGTTCGAATATTAATTTAGTCAGATGGTGATTAGCACTTAAGATTGGATGTCTTTTATCGATACTGTACAATGAATTTCGTAATATACCTTCGACCCTCAGAATACCGTCATCATCAAGGAATGGGTTTAAATTATGAATTTTACTATTTCTGATACTTTCTTTGTTTCCTGTGATGATCTGAATTTCATTATAAAATTAATGTTGCTATCTCGTATTTTATATCGATAGCATGCGTGTATTCTTCCACCACCCTCAAGGACTGATGGAGATACTTTTTTCTTTCCAGAGGCATACAGTTCAAGATCATCTATATAAAACAAATGGGTGACCTTGTGCGTCCGGTTTCCGGGGATGTCACAGTTATAACCTCGAGAATTTCTGAGCGCAACGGATAATGGCAATAGTGAGATGCAGAAGAGAAGGGGATTGAGGGAATCACCATGAAATACAACCCTTCTGAAAGTGACCCACACTGTTTGGACTCTTGCTTGACCAGATGTTATGGTGAAGCGAGTTCGCTAGAGTGGTATCAGTTGTTCATTGCATCTCATTATTTTGTTGGGTACCGCAAGGCATCTGAGCAAATGCAAGATGAGCTCATGCGATATTGTATCAAATGCCTTACGGTAATCGATCCAGGCCATAAAGAGGTTACGCTTATATTGTATCGAGTCCTGCGTTACATATCTATCAATGAGCAGGTTCTCTTTATATCCAGCGACTCCTCTCTTCGACCCTTTCTGCTCATATATTCATTCAAACACTATTCGTGAATATTCGTATGTATAAGATGCTTGTGTAAACAATTTATAACATTAATTCTAACATGTTATCGGTCTGTAAGTCTTAGGAATCGACAAATCTCCGCATTTGGGGATGAGAACGGTCCACCCCTCGACAAACGAATCCGGAATCGGCTGCTCTCCGTCCAGCCATGAGTTGAAAACTCTGGCCAGATGTAGGTGGGTGCTTGTTAATTTTTTCCACCAATAAGTGTTCAGCCCATCTGGGCCTGGAGCAGCAAAGTTCTTGGAACCCACAAGGGCTCTCCGAACGTCATCCAGGGTTATCGGGTTGCGCAGTTCATTGAGCTCAGGCTGTCGAAGCTCTCTGTTGAAAGCTTCGAACTACGCTAGGGCTGGAGTGTCTAAGTTGAGTGGCTGCAGGTGTTCATAGATATCCTTCCAGAAGGATTCCACCTGATCAGTGGTCGGCGGATTATCCACAACACGTGGAGGCTTTTGGAATAAGCGAGAAGGTTTCTCGCGGAACCTGAGGTTTTTCGCCCTGTAATCCATCACACATTGGATACAAGGCGCGAGTTGATTCGCCGACGTGATCTCAGCCTCTATCTTGTGTAAACGCCGTTCAATCTTCCGAACGGCAAGGCCGGAATTTCGTTCTTCGATTCGGAAAACGATTGGACGACGCTATACACGGCGGTGTTGATTTGCCAGATGTCAGCCTCTTCTGTTGAAACAGGGGCTTCAGGGGCCTAATTCTGTGGAGCGCCCTGCGTGTTCTGATTTTCGTCTCCATTGGTGGTATGGTGCGAGTCTCCTCTCCAGCCGTGCCAACGGGAGGTAGAACTGTCACTTCTACCACTTCGTTAGCAGGCTGGGAAGGAGCTAAATAGCTCTGGCACCGAAGATAAGATACGTAATCCCTAAGGTTTTGGGAGGAAAAGGCGGCATGATCCGAATGTTTCACACCACAGAGCATGCAATCTCGCCATGTACCCTCTTCACGCGGGCTAATTACCCTCGTAGCAATGCATAAGGCTATCTCTTAGCTTATGCGTCCACTCAAAACGTTCTTTTTCATTGCCATTGTCATCGGTAGGCAAATCATCGTTATGGGCCCCACCACCTTGCCTCTGACCCCTCCGAGCGGGTCAATTGTGAGTGCCTCTTCCTTGATTATTGGAAACCAAGTATTGGGTCCACCAGGTGGTTAGCCCTGTGGACCCACGGCCGGCACCGGAGGGAGAATAGAGTTCTCCTTCCTGGGTGAGCCTGGACTGCCGGTCCGGTTTTGCACCAGTTGCTCGGGTAAGTGGTGTCGCAACTCACCAAAGGCCAAGGGTGTTAGTGGCCATCCCTGCTCATTATTATTATTATTATTATCATTCTGAATTCAATGAGCTATTGCCTATATTTTTTAGAGCTTTATATTTATTCAACACGAATTTCAACTCGAGAACTAAACTATACCGTCAAACAACTTCACATAGTACATGTTTGAATATCAGTAAACTACATCTTTTTGCAAAAACTTCAATTCTCAAAAAATATTTCATAATTATCTCATTCTTTCTTTCGCTCAAATGAACGTGAGAAGGTGGCTTGTTTTGCGAGAAGTGACAATGAACTAACTTAAGATTCAAAATCTACCTCCCTGTAAATCGAACTCGTTGACATCATCTTTCAAACGAATGTCAAAATTCTTGTGAGAGCAATAAAATTTTAAGTGACCGTGAATAAAACCAATATTTGTACTGAATATTATGCAATGAAGAAAAAATTCCAGTATGGATCGTATCAAGGATGAGTTGCAGTTTTACTCGAAATTCACCAGGCCACTCATTTTCAGTTTACCGGATGCAAAAGGTGGGGATTTTTTTCAATATCATTTCAATCGGTAGTATACAAACTACCTAATTGTACTTTTATGATAACTGATGTTTCATTCAATTTGAAGAAGTGTTCGGGTTGAAGGAAGGATTTGTCAACTATTACCTTTTACAACTACTGGGTATAACGAAAGCCAAGAATAGAAGATACATTCAATAAATTGATTAGCTGTTACTACGTGGTAGGAAATAATCATGAAAAATGAGATTTGAATTTTTTTACCACTTGTATTTGTAACTAACGTTACTGCAGTTTTGTCCTATAAGGACATTTTCAAATGAATACAATTAATTGAAAATATCTTTGTAGGACGAAACTGCAGTAACGTTTTTTGCAAATACATATGGCATAATAACATATGACGTTTCAATTCTCATTTTTTAAGATGATTTCACTTTATTCTTGATACTAGTTCAAGTGTTTCAGTTTTGAGTATCTTATTATCGAATCAGAAAACAAATGCTCCGATTGGTCTGAAAATATAATTTGCCTGTCCAATTGTTTGATTTTCTTATATATTTGGTTATTTGCTAGTGGATCTAACATATTTTCTGCAAGTGTTTTTTATTTTAGCCACAATTTAAAATTTTGTGACATTCCTCACTTCATGATGGTGAGAGGGAATCAGGGTGAACTCTTCTTACAACTCTTAATACATTCAATAACTAAATTTCCAGACAGAAATAGTATTTTATTCAACGAGTGAAATATATGGCCATTACTCGTGAGAATGAAGTTTGTCGACGTGAGCTGAAGACGAGCGTCGCAAATCATTCCAGCGACTGATAGATATTTTTTGCGGGAAAAATACTACACTTCTTCTATGACTTAAAACAGGAATATTTCAAAATGAATGTCATTTGTAAAATTAATTTCGAATGAGGTAAATACCTTAAATTTCACACAAGAAGCAACGTAGAAGGTATTTCCTACTTTTGTTATTTTATTTCATTTGGATATTGATTGGTTTAGAAAATAAAAGAAAAGTTACCTAAATGAAACTTTAACTCGGGCACCCAATCAAACGTTTTTAAAACTATTACAAGAACAAACTTATAAATTGGTGTGACATAAGTACATCCATTTTGTTGTTTCTAATTACCTACTCTCATTTTATTAAGTGATGCATTTTTGGGAAATATATTTTTTTTTTCGTTACATTACAAATTTCTGATATAATACATTTATTTTCACTTCCCGAGACAATATTGTATCCCTGTTATTCATTGAAAACAATATATTTCAAAACGAAATGTCAGTTCAATGATTGATTTTGACTTTTGAGAACATATTTTGAAGTAGAAAATTGTCAAGGCTTCCTCCTAATTAGAAATAATTGTTACCGAATAAATAACAGTCAGATAATTGACGCTCTTTTGAATAGTCATAGAAAAAAAATTGAATGACAACACTTCGCTATAAAAGGTTCAGAAAACATCTTACAAAATCGTAACACTATACAATAGCTTTTTCAGATGTATAATATAATTCAAGAAAGCAAAGGATGGATGCTTCCATATTACCAGCAACAACTATTTTCGTATATTTTATCCATTTTGAAGGGGTACAAGAAAGAAACAGGAGATTTTATTCAAACAATTAAAACATCAAATGAAAATGTTAATTGGGGAAATCGTGTTTCTCATTGAATTTTGCAGAAAACTTCCTAAAATTGAACTTGAATTTCAGATAGAGTTCGAGCAGCAGGATGGGTTAAGAAAATCAGAGAAGATCAGTCTGGAAACGAGAGATTGAAAACAGATTATATCAAATTATTACTCTTTGCATTGCAACGCAAGAAGTTAGTAGGGATATTTGCAGATGATCCGGATCTCTATGAAAAGTTGGAGGAATTTCCGCCTGATTTTGATGTAAGTACTCCTACATGATAAGTATTTTTTCTCAATCATCTTAACCATCATACATACATATCTATTTATCTACCTTATATACTAATATGAATGTAAAAGTTTGTGGGGATGGATATATGTATGTTAGTAGGTTTGTGACTCTTTCACGACTGAACGGATTTAGATGAAACTCTACATAAATATAGCTTATACATCAGGATAACATATGGGCTACAACTTACAAAGATTTTGTGTAATTTCGATAAGTATTGAGTAAGTTGAAAGAAGTATTGCTCCATGGCAGCTATCTTGGCGTGCGTTGCCTGTACCGTTGGAGTAACATGCAGATAATGTACCGTAAAATTGTTTATGTTAAATAGTTCTAAATAAAAGTCCGCGATAGCATATATATCTACCCCTTATGTGGTAGCCACTATATGCAAAATACTGTTGAAACACAGATGAATTCGATACTTTTTTTACAATGTACATTTCAGAATATCTGTCAAATTCTTATAAAAATTCATACAATTGTCGTTTCAAGTATTCGATATAGATAAACTTTGTCACTAGTAATTTCGACGAATCATTAAAAAGTTATCATGATAAGATTAACTTGACGCAACGCAGTAAACCATTACGCGTTGCGTCTACTGTAAGACGACGGGTGACGATGCACACTGGTAGAGGGGCGGTCTAGGCAATGAAGCGCCTCGACTCGAACGCGGAAGGACGCGTGAGGGCAGATGTCGTTGACGTTTGTGTTAGTTGTGCGAATTTCTTTATAGGTAATATAATTCGATTTTAGAAGCTATTCATTACTTAGTGCAGTTGGTATATTTTTTTAGTTACTATATTTTTAAAGTAAAGATATAAATTACTAGCTGTTGATCGCTTTTATATTAACGTACAACCGAAGCTACCTAACCTAGAATCTTGAGATATGCAGGTAGGTTCTTTGTATAGCGTAAATAAGCATCAAGAAAAAAAAAATCAGGAATTTCCACCCCTAGGGGAAAAATAGAGTTTCAAAGATTGCATTGAATTTCGTCAGTTTTGAAGTTGGAAACCTGAAGTTTCGGGTCGATAAAAAATATTGTGAATAAATTGATGGATGTAGCCGTTACTACGTGGTAGGAAATCATAATGAAGAAAAGAAAAATGAAACTTTATATGTTTTTTACCACTTTTATTTGTAACTAACGTTACTGCAATTTCGTCCTATACGGACATTTTGAAACTTATACAATAAAACAATATTGTGACCATTTGTGGTCTGTCACGAAATGTAACACCAAATTCGACGCAGGCGAAGCGGCGGGCGATAACTAGTACATTTATAAATATGATAGTCCAATTTATTCAGTTATACAGAGGGAACCACTGAACCAGTGTTAATTCTTCAAGTTCCTTGACATATGTCAAAAAATCCTGAAACACGTCAGCTATAAATATATTTGAGGCACATATTTCACACCATTTCTTTCAGAGGAAACGTCCCGTGATTTCAGCCAGTGACTTAATCGAAAATTTTTCCAAATGAAAAGGTAGTATTGTAATACACTTTTGGAACGAGAGTAAAAAGACAACTTTGTGTCAATTTTGATTGAAATAAATGAAATATAAAATAAACAACTATTTCGATGATAATTCAGCAGATCAGTGTTACTGATTTGAATGCCGTTGTAGTTTGGAACTACATCCTAACTTTTGTCCAGCAGATTTATTCATCTTGATAATTCACCGATGTCACCAGTCATCGTTTCCAATGTTTTATTTACATAAGCGGAACTGAACTCACGTTTAAAAGAACTTAGTAACAGTTTCCAGGATGTAGAAATGAATTAATAGGTACTACCCACCTCCTTACAGAGAAACATTGGTTTAGTCATGAATTAAAAACTTTTTTCATTTCCAGAAGAAAGCCTTCTGGAAATAACGAAATTAGTAAATTCATAAATTTCCAATGTCTAGTGTACCTAATCTGTCTGTCTGTCTGTTTAAAATCAGATTTTTCGTTAACCAGCTGTCGCAGCCCTACGAACGACAATCCTCAGAAGTAGAAACTTGTGCGAGCTAAGGATTAACGAGGTCTTACTTTTTAACGTGTGATTCTTAACACGGGTTGGATGATAGCAAGTGAAAATCGATCGTTCAAACTAGGGCTTGAACCACCGACTAACACGGCAGTCAATTCGAGTGAGTGAACAAAGCACCCACGTCGAACCGCCTGGCTACCGATCAGTAAATCATGTAATACATTAGTTCTTACAGTTAGTTCAATTAATTGGGTATCTATACCACAGGATTAGGTAGTATAAAAAGATTGTAAGTCATCAGAACCTACATTTATTATTCAACAAGCACGAAATGTGACCATCCCTCGTGCGAATGAAGTTTGAGCCCGAGCGCGGTAAATCATACCGTGAAACATATTTCTTTTGTCAGTTTCATTTATCTGTTTTGATACTCGTTGATACTCTCTATCATAGATACGATTGAGAGTTCAAAGAATGTTATATGTAAACATAAACAGTTGTTGTGGAAAATTCCGTTCTAATATAAAAAAGCATTTTCTGCAAAAGTTCGAGCAATTCCATATAAAGTTTCACATATACGAGCAGGTAATTGCTACTTTAGGAAGTGGAATTCTATACGTTTTCTATAACTTATATCAGACATTTTTCAGAACCAGTTTGTTTGTGAAGGCTATCATACCATTGAGTTTCATGATAAGAATTACAAATCGCTTCGATATTGAGTGGTTGGAATAAAAAACTGACGTAGATTAGACCAATGACCACTGGTACAGAAATCCACAATCAAAATAAAAAATACTTATTTCCAACGTTTTCCTGTACAATATTTCAAATTTCTCTCTTTAGAGTAGGGAGGGTGAGTTTAGACTCACACCACTTAGGCCATATGTGACCCATTATACATCCTCCCAAGGAGTTATCTTCCTAGGTCATCGTCCATCCTGTCCTTCTCAACAAGGTGGACAGGTCTCTGGGAGACATCTACTTTATATCGGCAGATATAAAGGAGATATTCGGATATTCGCATAGGACATGCCTGACAGTTTCATCTTCCTGTTCACATATCCTGCATAGAGGTGTGTCCACTAGCCCCATATTGTGGAGGTGTTTCCTTAGTTGACAGTGGCCAGTCAGAAATCCTATTGTTAAGCATAGATTTTTCCTGATCATCGCCAGATATTTCTTCGGCCAGGGTGATCGTGGCAAGATTGCATCCTTTGATTTCATCCCATCTCTTTAGGGATTGTGCATGGGTGTGACGTTTGGCTAGTTTTGCAATTGTCGAAGTCATCAGGTTGTGGGTCCTCATATTCCAAATATTGTACAGTATTTCAAATTGATACACTTCAAGGGAATGGAGGGGAGAGAAAAAGGAAAACCCTGAACAACACGCGCCCTCACGACCTCAAGACAGTGGAGTGTGTCCCTCACGATGTTGGCGAGCTTTCACCAGTTGAGATACAGACTTTCAGGCACCTCTAGTTCTTCTGGCGTCTCCTGCCTGAACTTATACATCACTTGTCAAACCCCATTTCAGGTACCTATCCAAATAAACACCTAAATATTTCACTTCGTTAACAGCTTGAATTGTAAAGTTTGATGTTTGGTTTTTGATAAGGAGATTGTCAAAAGCAGGAATTGTTTGAATTGCAACTAAAGGGTGAGAAATTGGTTTTCTCCATATTAACAGTGAGTAATTTATAGTCGAACCATTCTTTTATAGCTTCAAAATCCATTTCAACTACATTTTTGAGGTTATTCCAGATCTTTTCCTCATAAAAAATGGCTGTATCATCTGCATATCCAATTATTGTACCAGCTGTATTGAGTTTGAATAGGTCGTCTATCTAGAGATTGAATAAAGTTGGTCCTAAGATTGTACCTTGGGGCACACCACATTCTACTCTTCTCGGCTCGCTTTGTATCCCTTCGATTCTTACTGAAAATTTTGTGATTAACAAATACAGAGACAGATAGTTGTTAAAAACAGTTACGTATGCGGTAGAAAAAACTAATGATACTATAGCTATGGGTATAATAGAGAGTCGAACCCCCGGTAGACTCTATACTCGGTTCCCAGTACACGGAAAAGATATCTATTTCCACAATCGACACGTTCGACGGGGGTCAGAGACTACAAAAAGAGTCTTCCAACAGGAACTTATGAACTTAGACAATTCATAATGGCCATCTTGTTGAAGATACATCATTCAAATTAGTTGTCATTTATTCAGTCTGTTTTGCCAAATCATCATGGACGAATATAGCATTCAACAAGACGTGGAAATTTTGAAATTGTTGTGAAAATAGGTGTTCTTTTTGGACAACATATCGCGCTTCGCCCATTTTACGGTCGCCATAATCGTCCTATCGTGAGGACTATTCGCAATGTGGTGGATACATCCGAGTCCACTGGTTCAGTAAACGATCGATCAACACCCGTACGTCTTTCAATGAAACGCAATATCTGTCAAAAAAATCGCTGATTAACGGAAAAAGAGATTTCAAACAGACAGACAGACAGAGAGACAACGACATGTGTTTTCTGAATGGGCTCTGGAGCAGTTGGTAACTGACCCTAATTTTCATCGAAAATCATCTTTAGCGATGAGGTCCATCTATGATGAATGGATACGTGAACAAACGAAATTGCCAGTTTGGAACGATACTATTTCACATGAGATCCATGAGCGTCCAATTAATGCCAAAAAAGTCACTGTTTGGTGTGGATTTTGAACTGGCGGCGTCATCGGTCCATATTTCTTTGAGAACAACGTTGGCCAGACCATCACCGTCAACGGCGAGCGCTGTAGGTCGATTATTACCAACTTCTTTTAGCCTGAAATAGATGAGCTTGACACCAACGACATGTGGTGTCATCAGAACGGTTCTACGTGTCACACAACTCATGCCACATTGGACATTCTGCACGAGAGATTTGAGGACATGGTCATCTCATGTGGAGATGAAGTGGCCACCGAAATCGTGCGATTAGACCCCGTTTGTAGGGTTTTCTTAAGTTGCAAGTGTATGCCACAAACCATAGCAGTCCTCAAAGCCAACATAACTCATGCCATCGGTCAAATTCAGCCTGATTTATGCGCCAGAGTCATAGAAAATTTTACGTTTCGAATGCTCTCCACCAAGAGAAGCCGTGGCGAACATTTGAACGATGTTATATTCCACCCAATGGTATCAATAAGTCTTTCAAAAGGATAAAAAAATTCGATGATTTCTCACACACACAATTTGTTTCATTTAAATTTAAATATAGAAAGTGCTTGATGAAATACCATTTACTATCATTGAGATCGATTCTCAAGACCTTGTTTCAATTGACAAACGTCAATTTCCTCACCTTGGGATTGATACAAATCCTAGAGGCTGTTTACAAAATAAAAAATTAATCCAACGTAGGAATGCTAAACACTGTACAGAAGGACATGAATTGCAAAACTCTTCATGTCCAGAAGAAAGGTTTAAAACTCAACTTTTTTGGAAGTATGAAATTTAATAAACTCAATAGTTCCCAATAGTTAATGAACGATCGAATTGATTCGAATCACCCATTTTGTTCATTTGATTACATCAGATGGCCATATTAAGTTCCTACAGAGTGATTACTTTTTGAAAATCATATATTGACCCATTTTTACTGACGAATTGAGTAGTGTACCGCTCTTTTCGGGTAGTTGGATCTAGCATCGAATTAATTTCCTCATTGGAGAGTAAGTAATACGAGTAGTCGAGGTTTCCAGAGAATAAAATTGTTATTATTTATAAGTATTAGGAGTTCCAAAAGTTTTGTCCGTTTTTATAGGTCTACTTTAAACCGTAATATAATGGTGAATGCTCATTCAATTTATTCTAAATGCAACGTTTCAACTGCAACTGCGGCAGTCATCTTTAGTGACGTGGTTGAAGTACTCTTCTTGACGTATGAACTGACGTATCAGTTGGTACGTCAAGAAGAGAACTTCAACCACGTCACTGAAGATGACCGCCGAAGTTGCAGTTGAAACGATTGAAGATTGTAACCTGAGAAGACCATGGCAAAACGCGGAAACCAACCAAAATGTTGACGCCAGCCGTGAAAAACTACATTCTTATATAAAAATTGAGTGCTCGGGACTCCATGAAGTCGACGAAGACCGTTTTTGTCTAGTCCTGAATTGCGATGGTTCTACCGGCTAGGAAGTTATTGAAGTGAATTAAAAGATGGTAGTCGGCGAGAGGTCTGGGGAGTATAGTGGATGAGGCAGAACTTCAACACCCGATTAGTTCAATTTTCGGACGGTGATTCGTGTAACCTGCTGTTGACACAATTTCCGCTTTGATGGTTTGGCCCGGCTGCAGAAAGTTATATTGAATCACACCGACCGCTGACCAGACAGCCTTTGGAAAGTGCCTGGGTAGATCCATTTTTCATTACACATGACGATCCGCCATTCCACGAACCGTTTGTCTCCACCAGAATCCTCAAATCCTCTTCCTGGATTACTGAGGGTTGATTACTTCAGGGCTCATCTTCGAGGCTAAAATCTCCGGAGCGAAATTTTGCAAACCATCGTCACTATCGTTGCCAAATACCTGGTTAATTTTTCGGGCTGTTTCGGCAGCGCTTTGGCTCAATTTGAATTCGTAGAGGAGAATTGGCCGGAAATCGCTTAACGACATCATGTAATAATGAGCTGAAAAGAGGCAAGAAATTAAAATTTGGAAGAGAAAGAACAGCATCAATGTATAGAGTACAAAATTCCCAATCGATAAGTATACACCACGACACAGTAGAATAAATATTAATTTATTTTTAAAACGGACGAAACTGTTGAAACAATTTTATAGTTCACAGTCCTCTTCGAGGAAGGTATTGTATAGCGAAACACGTGTCGCGATTTTGTAATTACAAAAATCAGTTACTTCTTTAATTATCTTGTAAAACATATTATGATATTCCAAATAGCTCAATAGCATGGCGAGGACACTTATCCAAACGGAACAGACAGAAAGGGTCGAGAGGATTCGGAAGCAACTTAGAGGACAGATTGGTGATTATCCTCCTTATACCACTGATTGTTCGTCAGATTTTCGAGAATATGCAGCTGCGCAGGATATTCCAGGATTCGGCGTGCATTGCTACTACGCCATTTCCAGGGAACCTATAAATTTTTGGCAACGGGCTGATAGAGGAATATACCCAAAAAGTAAGTATGACACTGTTCATCATTTTTTTTTCAAATATATCGTTTCAATGAGCTCCGGAATACTATATGGTGCACATGTTCAATTTCTAAATATTATTTTTATGAAAACTTAAATTTATTTCTGATCTTTGGTTTCGAATGATTTTTCAGTTTATGCTAAAAAATAAGAGTTTTTCACTAGACGATGAATGATTATCAACAATTTCGGAAAACGTTTTTGAATGTATATTGAAATTTTTACATATATTTGAATTTTATTACGATTATTATGAATTGATAATTGATAGTAAACGAATTGATGGAGGAATTTTACTGAGTAAAGAATTGGCAATCGAGTATATTTTGCAATACTACCAAGACTAGTTATATATAACTTGAGCACATTCTCCTCTCCCCTCTCTCCTCTCGGTTTTCCGGTGCAGTGCAATGTAGACTGTTTCCTGTAAAGAATTGGCAATGGAGTACATTTTGCAATACTACTAAGTGGTTGAAGAATCTTTTTCCCTGAAAGACTAGGTCATAACAAATTTGAAAAAGGGCGAAAAAATATTTCAAATATCTATAACTATCAGTGATATCAAGGATCATAGTGAAGGCCGCAAACTACCATATTCTTAAATATTTGGAAGGCTTTAATATCTCGAGCGATCATCAATATGGCTTTCGGAAACAAAGATCAACAGGCGACATTCTATCCTATGTCACCCATATTTGGAATAACGCAATTGAGAAAAATGGAGTCACGAGCTGTTGTGCTTGATATTTCTAACGCTGGGATATATGATATTGTATATCAACGATTCTTGGTAAAAACGAAAGCTCCAATATATTGCTCTGCTGACTGTCGTCAGCAGAGCAGCAGGAGGTTGCATATCCTAATCAGGATATAGAAGTGATTTCGAATTAGAGTGAAACTAACCAATGCCACAAAAACATGCACTGGTTTCTTCCAAAAAGATAAATGTACCCGAACTGATTATAATAATATCATGACAGACAACTCCGCTTTCCGCTTTGATAAGTTTGCTGGGGGTTAAAATGGACACCAATATGTCTTGGCACAATCTTGTCGCTGGAATTGCAAAGGCTGCTTCTCAAAAACTTTGGACACTGTTCTGAACTAGCAAACTGTACACACCCCAGCAACTTTTGATGCTTTATTGAATTCCATCTACAAAATAGTCATTCACCTGATTTGGAGACGCGAACATCACTTGCAACCTTGATAGTCTGAAACATCGAAGAGAGATTGGGAATTTGTTTTTCTTTTATAGATACGTTCACGGAAAGTGTTCAAGTGACTTGGCACATTTGATTTCACCAAGAACGGTACATATCAGATATACACAACAGACTGTGGCTGCTCATCGTTACGAGGTTCAACTCGAACTTCCATTTGGAGAACTTTTAAACGCAGTTCTCCAAATGGAATAAACTCACTGAGGACGTTTTTCCGAATGGATTCACTCTCCAGCGATTCAAATCCAATGTAAATCGGTGCACAGGCACCGCTCTTAGAGCACCTTGAGGATTTTCCTGTAGTGCTTGTGTTTTGTTCTTATAAAAATAATAAATTTGAATGTGTTTGTCTATGTTACTTGGTAAATGCTACAAGTTTAGACTTTCGTCTTTTGAAAAGGTATCAACAGATTTTAAATTTATGTAAAAAAATTAATGAGATATTAAAAATACCAAAAATAATATTGTATAAATATTCGAAAGAGTTAGATGAAAAATAATAAAGTTGAAAAGAGAATTGAAAGAAAATATCTTATCAATCAGTAAAAAATTGAAAACTATAAAAACGTTAATTTGTAAAAGGAACAAATTATCGTAACCTGATGTGGAAATGAATTAATGAATAATTCAAATAATGATAATGTCAACTATGTGCAAGTAATAAAAATATAAGAAACAGAAATCAAAGAAAATAATGGAAATAAATGTTGAAAAAAATAAAACAAAATATGTGAAGCATGAAAAAAAAATTTCAACCAAGCTAATTGAATTCTTCCAGTTGTTAGCATCCACAATCGTTTTCAGGTGATGACTGTCCTATTTCTGATACTTCTGATACAGGTTTCTATATGTTGCACTATTATGCTCCAGCCAGGCCGAATAAATGTAGCCAACTTCTTTAAACTTCCTTTTGGATCAGTGTTTTTCACTGAGGAAGATTTCACCTTTGGATGACTATACGTTATATATTATTACCGTGCACATTCCAAACAGGCATCGCTATTTTTAGACGAGTATTTTATTTCTGTCTGAAACATCCAGTTTCCAAAACACCTTTTTCCCTGAAAGAATCCAGCCAACCATATCAGCAGCAACCCTCTTTCGTCTGAGTCAGTTGCACCTGTTAGATTACATCTCCATATATTTTCATTGAAAATGTTAACTAGAACGTTGATAGCAGAATACTCTCAGTTCCTATCTACTGGAAGAGAGAAAATGTTAATCAATATTAATAGAATCAAGTGAGTGGGTAAAATATCCAGATGAGTCCCAAGGAAGTCACGAATGTAGTACATACATATACTATCAGTTCATGACTGCGAAAGCTTATAGTTTCAATAAATTTGTTTGACTTAAGGAATTTTATTTTTCAGTTACAAAAAGTGCAGTGGATTCAACAAGTCCGCTACCTCCAGGAGTCAGTGGAAGAACATCAGATCCTTCTTGTGTTTGTCCATCTGGTAAAAATGAAAAGAATACAAATTTTCATTTGTACATTCAACATTTTTTCAGCACCTGGAGAAGTGGAATCATCTTGCAAGGCAAGGGTTCATAAGGAAAGAGAACCATCGTAAGTTTGTTATTCAAGTATCTTTCTCATTATTTAATTGATGTTGTATCGCAGCAGAAGAAAGCGACACAAGAAAAAACTCGGAAAGAGTCCACCTACTTCTCCTCTAGGAACAGTCCCTCCACCTGAAGAAAGGGAATCGCCAACGTGGAGTTCTAACCTGATGGAGGTTAGAGAGTCGAAGCCTGTCGAAGAATCAGATGCAAAACCTGCTAGATCAACTGGAGCTATTCCCAAACTACGAACGGAAAAAGATAAAAAAAAAGCACTGAGGAGAAAGCTCAAAGGAGACGATTCAGATGCTGAAGATGCTGAACTTAAAGAAATGGAAGATGCACTGGAAGATTACCGTAGAGGTGAAATCAGATCTAGGAGGAAAAGAGCCAGAACAAGAAAAAAAGGACTTTCTGAAGAAGAAGAAGAAGAAGAAGATGAGGATCTAGAGGACCAGCCATTATTCGAAATAATCCAGGGAGGAGAAGATGTATGGGACACATTTGAAGATTTAGATCAATCTAAGTTTCAAGAAGAACTAGATGAGGATTCTGCTCTTTTGACAAAATTCAAAGATAAATTAACAAAGATCGAAACGAGGAGAAAACTCGCCGAAAGAAAACAACGGGTGGGAAGTGTATCTCCAGCTGAAGCTGGCATTCCGTTAACTACCCCCAAACCTTCTCCAAGTCCAAAACGACAGGAATCTTCAGAAAAGATATATTCAGAAGGGCCGTCTGAAATTCCAGTGCGCGGCGAGGAGCCATCCCGTTTACCAAAGAAAGGTCTGCCATCTTCAATGAAAGACCCAAAATTGCATAAATTGTTCGAAGAGGCCAAAGGAATGCCAGATGAAGAAAAAGGTGAAATGCCAACCGGAGGTGGAATCCCTACCGGAACTGGACCACAAATGCAAGCCGCTCCAGAGGCTGACAAGAAAACTCCTGCCTTCGATGGAAAACCCATGACTCCCATTCTAAGGGGATCAACACAAGCGAACGTTATTTTCTCTGAAGCACTCGACACTTTTCAAAGTGGTAAAGTTTATTAAAAAAAATCTCAAATCAACACTAGTAAAATATACGCTCAAAATTGATCATCATCAAATTTTGAACAAGAAATCAAAACTTTCCAATAAAATCGAACATTTCTTTTATCATTCTATAGTTTCTCCGTTGTCGAATATAATGTGAATTTCACACTATGCTTTTTAGATTTTTTATATTGAGCTGTGTAACGTTGTAATGCCATTTTCTATAAAAAAAACTACTTATTGTGGGATTTCCATTGTTAAAATGGATTTCACTGAAATCTATTTTTTGCACCACTCAGATTTTTTGTGAGTCTACAAATTCTACTAGTTTTGCTAATTCAAACAATCAACATACATATTCCATACCAGATAAATTGATTGAAAACAAAATTATTTTCAGCTGCGACTCCTAGTACCCCTCCCATTTTCAGCAGGGATCCGAAAATAAGACAGCAAGCGCAAATGCAAGAATATGATGACCATTTGTATGAAGACATTGAAGAATGGATACCGGCTCCACAGTATTTTGCTGATAAACATGGTGAGATTATAATTACATCAACCTATATTTTTCAAATTCACGGGGTGTAATATAGATGTTCCGAGCTCTTGTTCACATGTTTTGTAATTAGCATGAGTAGCACAAATCTCACGTGAATTTTGAAATTGCAGCTTAAAAGAAAACAATAATTACGATCTGGCAGGCTCTGCATCTTGTGTCAGGAATCTCTATACCCATCAGGCGACTACGGTACTAACGATTATGGACATACAAGATTGCTTACTTTTGCGATTTTGTTAGACACGTCACGTGATCTCGTGACGTAACAGTGGTGACTCTGGACACTTTTAAATTAAAATAAACAAATTTCATGTAATTCCCTTGTTAGAATATTATTTTTATATAGGATTGAATACTTAATATAAATAGATTAATACTAAGTAAACATTTTTAAAGGTCCCGTTCATAATAATTTTCTGTAAAATGTTTGGAAAAAAACAAATCCATTTTTGAGAGTGAATGTATCCCCTCTTTTGCAGCGACGAATCCATTCTTTTTGCAAAGTTGTGGAAACCATATCCTTAGCAATAGGAAAAGAGTGAAATATTACATCAGTAACACCACTTTTCTTTAAAGTGTGTGCAAGTTAACACTGCACAAATACGATCAGGCATTTTAACTAAAAATTACAAGGTTATTTATTGGTTAGACAATTATTGCTATTACTCATAAAAATGTGAATATTTCCAATTTTCACCTTAATTTAATTTAAAAATGTTCAAAAAACAAAAAAAAAGTTCCACAAAACAAACTGAAGAAAATAACAGAGTCTTATATGGTGTCTACTCGTTACACCAGTTAAAAAAATGTCCAAAAGCACAAAAAAATACGATTTTCACAATAACAAACTCAATGTTTCAGAAACCTAATTGGTATGGTTAAATAAAAATTCAATCAAAATAAACAAAAACAATGTAATACTGTCCGAAAATAATCCTCAAAAAATGTTAATATAACACAGTCTTATGGCAGCTACTAAAAGTGTCACCAGTGTTACGTCACATCTGCTCGGCCCTTGTTTAACGTGGCGATATATGTAAGTGAGCAATCCTGTATGTCCATAATCGTTGATCCTGGCAAGCTATGATTATCCAGCACATTGGCATTCCAGCCTTCAGTCCTATTCATCAACATTTAAACATTGAACAATGCTGATTTTGAATGACTTTAAGAATGTAAAATTAATATATATAAATGAAGTATGTGCTACAATGAGCTCTATTTCAAATTTGAAAATACGTGATTTTAACTTGGCAACCTTGCCGAACTAACACCAAAAGTGGTGGAGTCGGTACTTGGTGTAGCCAGGGCCTTGTCGTTGAGGCGATTGATTTGAGTGAGTTCTTTATAGAGGGTATTTGCGAAGTATGTACCATATCACTTGATAAGAAGAATCAAATGTACAACATCCTCTGTTGTTATAGACTTTAAGTGCAAAATACGAAGAACTTGAAACTCAATTAGTGAGTGGTGATTATTTGAAATCAGGAAGTAAATATGTGAACTTCTCTAATACTTTGATACAGTATAACTTCCGTAATTGGGTTTTAGGCCAACCAGAGTGACGGACACAACAATCTCTTCTATTGATCATATATACTTGAATTTTCCCAACAGAGGATCTACGTGTGTACTCGATTTTCCATTTTCAGATCATAGAATGATCTTTTGCGAGATCGATTTTGGAGTCACAGAGTCTCAAGTTGTGAGGTCCTTTATTGAAGAGGATTGGTCTGTAATTTTGCATTCAATTATTTTCCCGACATATGTCTTCAACACTATAATATAGAAATTCCTTTTTTGCTGCGATTCAAAAAACATAAAACTGAGAACTGGGTGACCCAAGAGGTGAAATGCTCTAGCTTCAGACTGAGGGAATACTTCAACCTTCAAATCGGGTGTTTTTCCCGAAAGATTGAAAACAGGCAAAGTCGAACTTATTCACAAAAAAATAACACAGTTGGTGAATAACTACACAGATCCGTAGCAGTAACATCGATTTTCTCAAACATTTTTGAGCATTGTTTCTTGAGTTTCTAGATTTTCATAAATGACATCACTTCGGATACGCAGCATGGGTTTCCAAGTGGAAAATCCACCAATACCGCATTTCGATTCGTATATGACTATTTAGCTGATGGCATAGACGCTGGCGAATGCCCTGTTGGGATTTTTTGCGATCTCACTAGGGCATTTGACTGCGTACTCTCAGGTACTCTCTAGAAAGTTACATGAGCTAGGTTTTGGGGAAATTTGGAAAAAGTGGATTGATTAGTTTATGTCTGGCAGAAGCCAATATGTAACCATCACCAATGTTATCAAGGGGAACAAAAGAACAATTTACTCTCAACTGATATCTCTATCACTCGGAGTACCATAAGATTCAGTTTTGGGACCCGTACTATTTCGAGTATTTATAGATAAAGTTGACGAATCTGTTCCTGATGGAAATTGCGTGGAATTTGCTGATGACGTTGGCATGATTATAACAGGCTACGACCAAATAAGTATACAACGGAAATGCGAGCAAACAATGAGATCTTTAAACTGGTGGTTTTCCAGTAACTCGCTTGTTTTCAATTCAAATAAAACAGTAATTATTCAGTTTTGTGATTATCAAAACATTCTTGAGCCACTATATATTGATGTGGATAATCAGCTGCTTCCACTGTCGAAAAGTACTAAGTTTTTGGGTGTTGAGATTGATAAAAACCTTAATTTCGAATCACATTATGATGGACTCATACCAAAATTGCATTCTTTAGCATTCAAGCAACGAAATCCCAACTATAATCTCAGTACAGATCAACTAAAAATTGTATACTATGCTGAAATGTAGTCGAGGTTGCGCTATGGTGTCTGTTTCTAGGGTTGGTCAACCAACGCAAGTGTAGTTTTTTCTATGGCTCAGAAGAATATATCAGAAGTATCACTGGCATAAGTTACATGAAGGCCTCTTAACCTTGTTTCAAGAAATTAGAAATACCGACTTTACCCTGCTTGTAGGTATATAATGAAAATATGTGTCTACGTTTTTCAAAGTAAAAGTCGATTTCTGTTAATAGGCTCTAGAAATACCATTAATAGTAGGCAAAAAATTATATGTTGCAGGTCCTCGTTTATTTAATGTTTCAACAAGTGACAAAGAAAGCATAACATTAGAGACGTTCAAAACAAAAATAAAACATTGTTTAGTTTTGAATGCGTATTACAGCGTTAATGATTATTTAACATAAGTGTACGGGTGACGTGTGCATGCCTTTTCGTGTGTGCTTCTAGTTTCAGTGTAGTAGTTTGTAATTTACCCTTGTAATTCAGATTATACGGACTATAGGAAAATAAAGGATTTGATTTTATTTGATCCTCTCAGTTTATGACTCCTGCCCACTAGACCTGAGATAAGCGAAGGTCAGGTGATTTGATGAGTCGATGTATTCAATAATTATTAAAGAAAACTCGATGCATTGTATTTTCCTTATGTTGCCGCAGGAGTGAAGTGATTTCTGTGAATTTTGTGTTGGTCTTTTTTTTGAACGGGTTCCAACTCGATAACAGAGTTGTGATATCCCTTGTTCAATGTCGAAAACTAAATTGAGTTCATCAACCGCCCGGACAGCTACCCTGAAGAGAAATGCTTCAATTTTTGCTCTTTAATGATCGCTGACACTCCAAACGTTTTTTCTGTTGTTGGGAAAAGTAGAACCAGGGAACGGACGATTCTTCGGGTTTTTACGTGGAGTTGATACAGCTTCTCTCGAGTCAAGTTTACTACTCCAGAAAAGTGGAATAAGATCGGAATGGCAAGGATATGCTTGCCTTTGATAGCAACAATTTTCTTACCTGATATTCCTCTCCGCAATCCTCACAGCTTCTTTTCAGACGCACCTTTGCAGATTTGTCTATCTCAAATTTCATACCGACAACATTCCACAACTCTTAAATACTGAGGTATTAAGGGCAACCATATGAAACAAATGGATGGTATATGCCTTCGGTTGACGAGGGTGACACAGGAATTTACGCTATTGAAATGTTGGAAAATTAAAAGTCGGGGATGTCTGAAATACACAAGTCAATAAAAATATTCTTGGACAATCAAGCGGCTCTTGGCTCCTACCGAGCAATGTCCAAATTGGTAGCAAATTGCCAAAAACGACTCTCCTCAATAGGAAGACTTAACAGATTGTCTCTGGTTTGGATTCCTGGCCATACTGGCGTGAAAGGCAATGAGACTGCTGACTCCCTTGCAAAGGAGGGTGCTGTAAGCAGCTCTATCAGACCAGAACCTGAATGGCAAGAAGATTTATGGACTTTTGGCAGAATCTTCCAGGATTGACTCACTCCAAGGCGTTTATTCATCCTTGGAAGCTGGATACCACACAGTTGTTGGACTACAACGTAGGAATGCTAAACACTGTACAGAAGGACATGAATTGCAAAACTCTTCATGTCCAGAAGAAAGGTTTGAAACTCAACTTTTTTGGAAGTATGAAATTTAATAAACTCAATAGTTCCCAATAGTTAATGAACGATCGAATTGATTTGAATCACCCATTTTGTTCATTTGATTACATCAGATGGCCATATTAAGTCCTTACAGAGTGATTACTTTTTGAAAATCATATATATTGACCCATTTTTACTGACGAATTGAGTAGTGTACCGCTCTTTTCGGTGTTTTTTAGTGGGTGCTCGCCTTTGGAAAGTGCCTGGGTAGATCCATTTTTCATTACACATGACGATCCGCCATCCCACGAACCGTTTGTGTCTCCACCAGAATCCTCAAATCCTCTTCCTGGATTACTGAGGGTTGATCACTTCGGGGCTCATCTTCGAGGCTAAAATCTCCGGAGCGAAATTTTGCAAACCAACGTCACTATCGTTGCCAAATACCTGGTTAATTTTTTGGGCTGTTTCGGCAGCGCTTTGGCTCAATTTGAATTCGTAGAGGAGAATTGGCCGGAAATCGCTTAACGACATCATGTAATAATGAGCTGAAAAGAGGCAAGAAATTAAAATTTGGAAGAGAAAGAAC